AAAAAAAAGGTTGAGAAGTTAGAGGGTTGACATGTTGTGGGGTTGTTAACCAATGTCATAAAACAATATGTGTACTACTGTTTCATGAGAAACTACTTTTTCTGTAAGCCTTCACCTGAAGTACAATAAAAAATAAATAAGTAAATAAAAATGAAAGAAAGGTCTAACAAAACCAACCCAAAATTGTTATGACTGGACATAGGGCAATAAATTGGTTCAAACACTTAAAAAAAAAAAAAAGAATTGAATTGTTTAGAAATTGATCCATTTCTTATTCCTGATGAGCTCAAAGGGGCAAAATACAAAAAAGAGAAAAATGAAGAGAAGGAATTAACAATGTATGACATAATAACCTGAGTTACTAGGTATTAATGTAGACCTGGAAATTAAAAAAGGAGAAGAAGAAATTCTCTTCCTTATTAATCTAAAAACCCAAATATCTACACAGTTCCGGTACAGAGTGTAAATGATTGTCTTAGTGATCGAGAGCTGCTATAACAGAAATACCACAAGTGGATGGTTTTAACAAAGAGAAGTTTATTTCCTTACAATAAAGTAGGCTAAAAGTCCAAATTCAGGGTGTCAGCTCCAGGGGAACGTTTTCTCTCTCTGGCCTTCTCATCAGTGTTCCCCCAGAATAGGAGTTTCTTGGTGCAGGGACCCGGGTCCAAAGGACATGCTCTGTTCCTGGCACTGCTTTCTTGATGGTATGAGATCCCCAAGTCTCTCCTTGCTTCCCTTTTCTTTTATCTCTTGAGAGATAAAAGGTGGTGCAGGCCACACCGCAGGGAAACTCCCTTTACATTGGATCAGGGATGTGACCTGGGTAAGCGTGGTGTTACAATTCCACTCTAATCCTCTTTAAAATAAAATTACAATCACAAAATGGAGGCCAACCACACAATTCTGGGAATCATGGCCTAGCCAAATTGATACACACATTTTTTGGGGGACATAATTCAATCCACGACAATGACGCAAACAGCAGTAGTACTTCTACTTATACATTGTGTGAGGGGTAGGAATTATGGTAACCTGGAGAGACATCGCACTATTAGGAAAAGCTCTGGATGAATAAGAAACAGATACATTTTCCAATTTTTTTTCAAGAAAAGACAAGAATTCATCGTATGTGATTTCTCTTGATTTGTAAATGTTGCTCTAATTTATAAAACAATAAATAGGCCAAACTTGGTCAATGAGCTACCAGTTTGCAACCTCTAGTTTAAACTGTCCTTCTTACGAATATTAAGAATTAATTACTATTAATTAACTAACACACATCCTTGGGATGTGTGTTTGCCAAACTTGTAATGCTTATGTCCTCACTTCCTCCTTTCCTTCCTGAATGCCTGTAAGGACTTGAAGGGCCCTAGGCCACATCTAGAAAGTCCTCAGGGAAAGCTCTCGGGTCTGTTATGGAATGAATAACCCAGATCTGGGAAAAGGTAATGCTACTGGAGAGAGCCAAGGGCAGAAGAATAAGATATATTGCAAAGAGACCTGAGAATAAGGAAAAGAGGATATGTCTTAGATGGGCCCACTATGAAAGCTTTAATTTCTTGGTTTTTCTGACTCTGGATTATTGGAAAAGTGATATCTAGTAAAGTGTTTTAAATCTTTTCACCCCCACCTGACTGTAATTCCCTTTTGAGCCTGCAGTAAAATGTAAAATAAATATAGAGCCTTGTGACGGCAGAGTTGTGGAGACTGAAGCACAGGATGCCACAGGAAAGCGCAGCCAGTCCCCATTCACACGGAGCTGGAGCTCATGAGAGCAGAGAAGCATACTACCAAGAGGCCTGACTAGCAGCACCAGGCAGTGACCAGCCATGAAATAAGCAATGACCACAGCAGAGTTGAAAGTGGCACCAGGTCTGCCAGATGGAACATGCAGGAGACCTGTAAGACAAATACCTGATTTTTCATATACACTGTACCTTTGGGTGGGCCAGGTGGGAAATAGGTCAAAGCTTACCGCTAATAATACTGAAGCATCGTATTGGTTCTACCATCCTTAAAATTTCCTCCTAAGTTTGCTGCATTCATGAATAGTTTATATCATTGTCATAATATTTATTATCAGAGAAAGAGATATTGGGAAAAATCCATCATTATATCCAATTTTGAGACAGACCAGGTTAATACAAATTCAAAGCTCTAATATTTCTGCAGGTAGAGAGTTAAAACAAATTCATAACGAGACAAGAATATTTCACTTTACTCATTGTTCCATTAAAAGAAAACTCACTAATTTTAGACAGTGAATTGTGATAAAACATTATAAACAATGATTTTCAATCAGATAATAGTGACTTCAACAAATCAGCAGTTTCTTTATTCTATAAACATGGTAAAAATAATGTAACAATAAAATACTGTACTTGGGAACACACGAAGTATAAACATCATTGCAACCATTAGTTTTCTACACACAATTGTACTTATCTGTGGATGCTGATTATTGTCATCACCTCCCAAAATTTACTGATGTACATTATGCGCCAGGTACTTAACAATTTTAGTATCTCCTTCACAACAGGTGCTTTATATATCAATAACTAAATTATGGATTAAAGCACAGTGTTCAGACATAGTCTTCCTTTTCTCATTGGTAGTCAATACTTCCTCTGGTGTTAACTAATGGAGGAGCAAAAGCAGGCTGGTAGTCAGTGGTTATAAACTTGCAGGATGACACCAACACAGCTGTTAGCATCCAACATTGATAACCAGCTGTTGTTAAATAATTGTCAAATATTTTGACTCTCACTCCTAAACAAACGTCTCCTAGTTTCTTATAAGAGGTAAAAGATCAGTGCAATTTCTAATGTTAAAATATGTGCATAATATTTTATTCAACATTTTATATTATACTACAAATATCTACACTTTCAACAATAAATTAAAAATACAAAAGCAAAATAAGTCTGAGGAAAGTTCATAGTCACTTTGTTACTCAGTGGAGTCTCTGGTGGTGCCAATGGTACATGAGCTTGGCTGCTAACCAAAAGGTTGCAAGGTTTCAGTCCACCCAGATGCACCTTGGAAGAAAAGCCTCAGGATCTACTTCCTGGAAAAAAACAAAAATCAGCCATTGAAAACCCTATGGAGCAAGTTGTACTCTGACACACATGGGGTCATCGTGAGTCAGAATTGACTCAATGGCAACTAGTTTTTTATTATGTTATTCAATGATATTTTTCTGCCTTCTTTTCTAAGAGTTCATCTGATCCAAGATCCTGATTATCTTCTTGGTAGAAAAACTTGTTTTGGCAGAACAGTTGAAATGCAGAGTGTTTTGTTGCCTCTAAGCAGCGGGAAGATGTTTGTTAATAATAGAAATGCTGAAGATGATGAACTGCCATCAAGAAGAGTTGATAAACATTTGTACGATATGTGAAAAACTTCGTAAAAACTCTTTAATATTCTTTTCCTCCAGTTCCTCACATTCTTTGCATCCAGATTCTGTTACATTCTGCAAAATAAAAAGAAAGGATTAGATTAGTTAGTCTAATTTACTTCTTTCCTGGGAATATCACATCATCTGAACCATATAGTGAGGTCTTGAGACATGAAAACTGGCAAATTACCATCATATTAGGAAGAACAATGGGAAAAGAGAACTGAGAGATTTGATATGGGCTTATTTTTCCCATCAGGGATTAAGAACATTAACTAAAAAATAAATAATAAATAAGCCTTGTTTATGGGACCATGAACTTCCTACTTAGAGCCCTTGAATGATTTCTCATCATCTTTCCCTACGATAAGTCCATGTCCCCCTGCGTGGCACACAGGTCCTCCATGAGCTGTTTTTTACCCATCTCTTCCACCTTTCCCTACTGCCTCAGACATTATGGCCTAGGAACTGAGTCATGCCTTGCCTCTCCACCACACATCATGCTATTAGATGCCTACCTGACTTTGCTTTTCTCTCTGTGTGCTACATGCTTCCTGTTCTAGCTACTACTCCTCACATCTAAGATTACTTAGGTGCTGTCTCCTTTAGGAAGGCTTCTCTGAACCCCGGAAACCCCAGGCCTGTCTCTGCATTCTCAGAGCCCCTTGTTTAGACCTCTATCACAGCACTTCATATATTATATTAATATTATGGGGTTGTATGCTTTTTATACCATTATTCTCTAAGCTCTTCCAGAAGGGTAAGAACACATATTTTTGTTTCCCCAGCATTTAGCATAGTGTCTGGCACATAGCAATCAGCCAATCATTATTGATTAAATTGAACTATTCAGGCAGATACTACAAATTGTTGTAACTCAAACACAGTTTCATGGATAACTAGAATCTTTCAAATGTGTCAATCATAAATGAATCTTCTTAGAGATACCTAAACCATGAAAGTTCTGCCAGCAAAAGTCAAAATTAGGTTTTACATCCATGAATATGTGGAATTCAGATTCACCAATGTTTATCAAGCATTGACTCCATGTCAGGCACTGCTATATTTCATATAATGCTGTCCTATTTGATCCTCCATATAATGTCAGATAGGAAGTCAGGGATGTTCAATGACTCATCTCAATGTGACATAATCAGCTAATATTCTTCACACCCAGGTCTTCTGACTGTGCAGTTCTGCCACTCATTCTACCACATACCCCACCCTATGTTCTGATGAGGGTGACTCAAAAGGAACATGAAAGAGTTTATCATTGCTATTGTCATGAGCTATTTGCTGCATGGTCATCTTTCCATTGATAAGGTGGAGATACATCATGGGAAGTATTTTACACATTAATGCATATGTTTCACAAATGTATCAAGTATCTAGTACATGCCAAGCACTATTGTGGAGCTGTGATATAACACTGGAAAAAAGACAAAAATACCAGCCCTCTTGAAGCTGACATTCTAGCAGGGAGAAACAGGAAACATCCGTTAAGTAAGTAAAATATGTAAGATGTCAGATGGTAGGACATGCTATGGAAGAGTGAAGGCTTATGGTGAGGGGACAGTAGAGATGGGATTGCAACTGTAAATAGGCGACATAACTGAGAAGGTGGCATTTAAGCAAAGACCTTAAGCAGCCTGGCATTTTAAGAGAAAATTCAAGGTACTCAGCCATACTAGCTTGGAGTTTTTGCATTTTCTGTTGCCTCTGCCTGAACATACTTCCCCAGGTATGAGCAAGCTCACTCCCTCATGTCTCTGCCAAAAGTCATCTTATTAGCTAAATCTTCTCTGACCATCCAGTATAAACTAGAACCTCAACCCCCCAATCCACCTTTTTTTTCTCAATTGGACTTAATAAAAAACTGACTTATACATTTGCATATAGACTGGCTTATTTATGTTTCCTCCCTCCTTAAGAGCAGATACCATGTGTGTTTTTTAATGACTATATCCTTACAATGGGGCCCAAAAGTATGGCTAAAATAACTAATTTTTATTATGTCTTCTTTGTTTATAAAAGTCTGAGTTTATAAAACTTCATGTTTCTTTAGCCATGAAAGCCATTAGCATTTGTACCTCAGGGTTTTTGCACGTCTGAACCCCCAACCTACCGAGAGAGTCATTAGTATTTGCTCTCTGGAACCCTACACTGCTCATGTTTCTTGGCACATAAGTACTCAACTTATTAATATCTTTATCATTACCCTTTTGTATCATTTATCCTTTCATTGGACAGAAGTACAGACTCTAGAGTGAAGCTGTGCTTGGGTATGAATCCTTGCTTCCCATTGCTAGCTGCATGACCCTGGACAAGTTGTTCAAGCTCTCAATATTTTCAATTCTTTAACCCTCAAAGAGACACAAGGATACCTACTTCACAGAGTCATTGTGAGTATTAAATGAATTATCATTTGAAAGCATAGCGTCTGGCACATAGTGATAACCCAATAAATGAGAGTACCTATTACTTATGTTATAGTTAACTACTTAATCATGCAATTGCATGAATGTCTATCCAGTCCACCCGACCATAAACATTTTGAGGTCAGCAACTATGTAATGCCTGGCATTACTCAATAAATATTTGTTGAATGAAAAAAATCAATAAACAGTTTAGGATTGCATACCAGAGATAGTCCCACTTTTAGATGTTCCTCCGTTGGAACTGAACTCCATCTCCTCTGCTGAGTGTGTCTTTACAGTATCTGCTTATTCATTATATCCAGTTAATGACTCTCCCAATCAAGCCAAAAACATCAGAGGTACCTCTATATGACTACTGGATAACTCACCCCATTAGAATGTAAACTGCTGTTTGCTAGGATGATAAGGTTTTCTACTGTTTCATCCATGTCCATATTCCTGGATTCATGTGAAATAACACGTAACTCCAGGAGAAAGCACTTCATTGCTGTTACTTTGCAGTTAGGCTAAAAATAGAGTTATAAAGAACCATTTTGAAAACGTTATTTTCTGATTGTTCATTTTCACATGGATATAACTTTGATTTTTAAAGCTAATCCAAATATTTTACAAAAAAATCCACAATACTGCTAAGAAGTTGTGTATAGGAAGCAGCTTGACTTTTTTTTCTCCTTCTTTTCTGGCTTTGAAATTAAAGCCAAACCAAACGAACAACACATGATCAAGAAGCATGGTGATATTGTACAGAAAAAAAGAACATAAAATTGGAAAATCTGGAACTAATAGTCCACTTTTTTTTCACTGAGCATGAATGTCTCTGTGTAAAAGGGTGATCATATTAGCCCTAGACTCTCAAAACCTTGATACAGATAGTGCATGTGTAAGAATTTTTCACATCAGATTGTATCGTTAACATTTTAAAGAGTAGTGGCTGCTAACCATGCTACTCCGGCAAGATTCAAAGTTCTAGACGCAGAAGCGTTTTCAAGAAATTCATTAGAAATATCAAAGCAGGAGTACTGTCTATTGACAGACTGGGCCGTTCAGAAAGGGACCTCTTAGGCACCATAGAAATGTATTTCCCACAAGAGTTACTTTAACTAAAATCTTCTAAACTTAAAAGGAAAGAAACACTTAATGAATCTCTGGGGATTTGACCATGACTTGCTTGACTTTGTGTTCTCAATACCTAGCATAGTGCCTTGGAGTCAGCAGGCACTTAATAAATGCTTACTGAATGGGTGAAGAAAAGAAGGCACACATTCATGCGCCAGGCACTGGCAATGCCCCTCATTCCTACAGCAGCTGCAAAGGATTGAAAGGGTAAATGCCACCATCATGCTAGTAATAGTGAAACTGAGGTTCAGAACTGTTTAGTGACTTACAAATTACCACAGCTAGAAAGTGGCTGAGTCAGTGTTTAAATTTAAATTTCAATCTCAGGTTCTCTCTACAACACAAGAGTTGCAAGGTTACTTTCTTGCAAAAGAGCAGTCTCAGAATGCTGAGTGTTGTTGGTTAATTGACTGCTTTCTACTTTGAGAAAATGTGAAGAAAAATGGGAAAGGTGCTGAGGCCAGAGGAAGAAGGCAATCTTTGCATGCAGCAGCGCTATCTAAGTAGTTGATTGGTACTTTTTTTTTACGTTTTATGGCTTGGCTTCTTTCCAATGCTTAGAAAGTCTTGGTGGGGGCAATATCTTATATTTCGGAAGACTTCTAATTGAGGAATAACAAAATAACTATTTTCACTGGCAGAACACACACAACATAGGGTTTGTTTTCCATGAGGTAAGGAAGGTGGGGACTTATTTCTTGTCTTTTAGTAACCAATCCAGAGGGAAAGGATTAGCAACATGACTAAAATCATACATGCCTTAGGCGATGCCAATGTATTAATGAAACAAGTTTAAGATCATTTTTGAATTCTGATCAATTTTAAGGGTTATGATTGTTTTTTTTCTCACACAAAAAGTAACTGGTCAGAATTCTTTCTGGCAAATGTAGACATACATAAAAAATGTAGAGCATTGATACATTTGAGCAATTTGTAGAAAATATTATTTGAGATGGTAATACACTACAAACACTGAAAATAAGTGATATGTTGGATACTTTGAAATTGAATCAGTTACCTGGTTCTTGCATCTAATTAAATCCTGATCTAATTGCATCACAAAAATATAAAATATATTTTGTTTGACATTGATGGACAGGGCTTTTTTATATTTTTATTTTGGGCTGTCATCAAAATAGCTCCTTGCCCCAAGTCCCAGCCCATCAACAATTACTTATAAAGTTAATTGATCACCTGTTGTAGAAGCACACCAAAGTTAGATTTAAAGACTGTACCTATTTCAGTTAAGTTACAAAAATATAGTTTTTAGACTTTTTAAAGCTAGAAAATAAAGCAATTTTGAAAAAAAATTAAACTATACTTACATGAGCATCACTTTCAGTATATAAAGTGGCATCAATATGTATAGACTAAAAGGGAGCAAAATTAGATAATATGAAAAATTATGCCCTACTTTAGGTACAATGAAAACAACTTACTGAACACATTAAATTTTTTTAATTAAAGTTTTCATTTTGAGATGATTTTAGACTCATATGCAATTTTAAGAGAAAATATAGAGGGATCCTGTATATTCTTTACCTATCTGCTCCAACTATGAAATTGACACAATCCACTCACCTTATTGAAGTTCATCAGTTTTACAAACACTAATGTGTGAGTGTTTGTGTGTGTATGTGTTGTTGTTGCTAGGTGCCATCCAGTTGATTCCAATCTAAAGAGACCCTATGTACAACAGAATGAAACACTGCCTGGTCCTGAGCCATCTTCACAATTGTTGCTGTGCTTGAGCCCATGGTTGCAGCCACTGTGTCAGTTCATCCCGTTGAGGGTCTTCCTCTTTTTCGCTGACCCTCTACTTTACTAAACATTATGTCCTATTCCAGGGGCTGGTCCCTCCTGAAAATATGTCCAAAGTACATGAGGCAAAGTCTCATCATCCTTCCTTCTAAGGAGCATGCTGGCTGTACTTCTTCCAAGACAGATTTATTCAATTGCTCATATGCAAGTTCAAGTTGAAGCTAAAGAAAATTAAAAGAAGTCCACGAGAACCACAGTACAACCTTGAGTATACCCCACCTGAATTTAAAGACCATCTCAAGAATAGATATGATGCATTGAACACCAATTACCGAAGACCAGACAAATCGTGGGATAACATCAAGTACATCATCCATGAGGAAAGCAAAAAGTCATTAAAATGACAGGAAAGAAAGAAAAGACCAAAATAGATGTCAAAAGAGACTTCAAAACTTGCTCTTGAACACAGAGTAGCTAAAGTGAGTGGAAGAAATGATGAAGTAAAACAGGTAAACAGAAGATTTCAAAGGGCAGCTCAAGAAGACAAAGTATTATGAAGAAATATGCAAAGACTTGGAGTTAGAAAACCAAAAGGGAAGAACATGCTCAGCATTTATCAAGCTGAAAGAACTGAAGAAAAAATTAAAGCCTCTAGCTGTAATACTGAAGGATTTATGGGCAAAAAAACTGAATGACACAGGACACATCAAAAGAAGACGTGAGAAATACAGACTCACAGCATCAAAAAGAATTGGTCAATGTTCAAACAATTCAAGAGGTAGCATATGATCAAGAACCAATCCTTTGAAGGAAGAAGTCCAAGCTGCACTGGAGGTATTAGCAGAAAACAAGGCTCCACGAATTGACAGAATATAAATTGAGATGTTTCAACAAATGAATGCAATGCTGGGAGCACTCACTTGTCTATGCCAAGAAATTTGGAAGACCTGGCCAACGACTGGAAGAGATCCGTATCTGTGCTGATTCCAAAGAAAAGTGATCCAATAGAATGAGGAAGTTATCAAACAATATCATTAGTATCACATGTAAGTAAAATTTTGCTGTAGATAATTTGAAACGGTAGGAATTGAAGCCAGAAATTCAAGCCAGGTTCAGAAGAGGATTTGGAACAAGGGATATCATTGCTGATGTCACAAATATCTTGACTGAGAGCAGAAAATACCAGAAAGATGTTGTCTTAGTTATCTAGTGCTGCTATAACAGAAATACCACAAGTGGATGGCTTTAACAAAGAGGAATTTATTCTCTCACAGTCTAGGAGGCTAGAAGTCTGAATTTAGGGTGCCACCTCCAGGGGAAGACTTTCTCTGTTGTCTCTACAGGGAGGTCCTTGTCATCAATCTTACCCAGTCGAGGAGCTTCTCAGCACAGGGACCCCAGGTCCAAAGGACACGCTATTTCCTGGCTCTTGTTTTTTGGTGGTCTAAGGTCCATATGTTTCTCTGTTTGCTTCTCTCTTTTATATCTCAAAAGAGATTGACTTAGGACACAACCTAATCTTGTACAGTCCTGCCTCATTAACAGAACTGCCACTAATCCCACCTCATTTAACATCATAGAGGTAGGATTTACGACACATAGGAAAATCACATCAGATGACAAAATGGTGGACAATCACACAATACTGTGAATCAGACGCTCCAAGTTGACACACATTTGTTGGGGGGACACAATTCAATCCATAACAGATGTTTACCTGTGTTTTATTGACTATGCAAAAGCATTCGACTGTGTGGATCGTAACAAATTATCGATAACTTTTGGAAGAATGGAAATTCCAGAACACTTAATTGTTCTCATGTGGAACCTGTACATAGATCAAGAGGCAGTCATTTGAACAAAACAAGGGGATACTGCCTGGTTTCAAATCAGGAAAGGTATGCATCAGGGTTGTATCCTTTCACCATATTTATTCAATTTATATGCTCAGCAAATAAATCTGAAAATCTTGACTATATGAAGAATGTATCATTAGAATTGGAGGAAGACTCATTAACAACCTGTGATATGTAGATGGCAACCTTGTTTGCTGAAAGTGAAGAAGACTTGAAACACTTACTGATGAAGTCAAAGACTACAGCCTTCACTATGGATTATACCTCAACATAGAGAAAACAAAAATCCTCACAACTGGATCAATAAGCAATATCATGATAATAGGAGAAAATACTGAAGTTCTCAAGGATTTCATTTTACTTGGATCCACAATCAATGCCCATGGAAGCAGCAGTCGAGAAATTAAAATGACGTATTGCATTGGGCAAATCTGCTACAAAAAACCTTTTTAAAGTGTTAAAATGCAAAGATGTCAGCTTGAGGACTAAGGTGCTCCTGACCCAAGCCATGGTATTTTCAATCACTTCATATGCATGCACAGGCTGGACAATGAATAAGGAAGACTGAAGAAGAATTCATGTCTTTGAATTACGGTGTTAGCAAAGAATATTAAATATACCATGGAATGCCCTAAGAACAAACAAACCCATCTTGGAAGACATACAGCCAGAATGTTCCTTAGAAGCAAGATTGGAGAGACTTTATTTCATTCACTTTGGACATGTTATCAGGAGAGACCAGTCCCTGGAGAAGGACATTATGCTTGGTAAAGTTGAGGGTCTGCAAAAAAGAGGAAGACCCTCAAGGAGATGGACTGACACAGTGGCTACAAAAATTGGCTCAAAGACAGCAATCGTCAGGATGAAGGAGGACCAGGCAGAGTTTCATTCTGTTGTACATAGGGTTGCTATGAGTCAGAGTGGACTTGGTGGCATCTAACAACAACAACCTTCCAACTTTCCTATTTCATTGTATTTGAAGTGTGTTCCTATAGACAGAGTATATTTCAGTTGTGTTATGTTATTTGCTCTGGTAATCTGCCTTTTACACGGTGCATTTAGACCATTTACTTATAATGCCATTATTAATATTATAGGGCTTAAATCTGCCATTTTAATTTTTTCCTTCTGTTTCTCATTTATATCTTTCTCTTTTCTTGCCTTCCTGTGGATTATTGGAATTTTTTTTTAATCCCATCTTCATTTATTTGTAGTATCTTTGAGTATATTGCTTTGTATCATTTTCTTAGTGGTTACATTAAAACCCAAAACCCACTGCCACTGAGTCGTTTCTGATTCATATTGACCCTGACAGGACATAGTAGAACTGCCCGTAGTGTTTCCAAGGAGTGGATGGTGGATTCGAACCGCTGACCTTTTGGTTAGCAGCCATAGCATACATACCTAAGTTATCACAGTCTACTGGTGTCAACATTTTACCAGTTCAAGTGAAGTGAAGAAAGTTTTCCTCTCTTTACATCTTCTATTCATAATATAATAGTCTTGAATATTTCCTTTTCATACATTGAGAAACCCGTTAGACACTGTTATAATTTTAGCTTCAATTATCAAACATAATTTAGAAAATCAAGAAGAGAAGGAAAGTCTGTGATATTTACTCATATTTTTACTCTTTCCATGGTTATTTCTTCCTGATTAATATTCCAGGGTTTCTTCTTTCATCATTTCTCTTCCATTTAGAGAAATTCCTTTAAGACATAATTGTTGTCACTGGCAACAAATTCTCTTAGTTTTCCTTCACCTGAGAATATCTTGATCTCTTAATCACTGAAGGATAATTTATCTCGAAGTAGAATTTTGGATTGACAGTTATTTTCTTCCACTCCTTGAAAAATGTGCCACTACCTTCTGGCCTACACAATTTCTGATGAGAAAATTGCTGTCATTCAAATTATTTCCTCTGTAGGTAAGGTATCACTTCTCTCTTGCTGGCTTCAAGATTTTTTCTTTGTCTTTAGTTTTCAGGAGAATAATCATGATGTGTTTTAGTATGGATTTCTTTGGGTTTTTTCCTCTTTGAGATTCACTCTGCTTCTTGAATGTGTAGGTTTATGTCTTTCACTACATTTGGAGAATTTTCATTCATAATTCTCCACATACTTTCATCCCCACTCTTTCTTCTTTCCTTATGGGACCCTGATGACACAAATATTAGATTTTGTCATTGTTGTTATTGTCCCCAGACCCATAAGTTACTATTTTCCTGTTTTTTCTCTAGTGTTCTATCCTCAAGTTTATTGTCTTTCATTCTGCTATCAAGCCTCTCCAGTGAGTTTTGTATTTCTGTAACTGTATTTTTAGTTCTGTAACATCCATCTGTTTCCTTTTTATATCTTCTATTTCTTTAATGAGGCCTTCTTTTTTTTTGCTTCAGGGCCATTTGTAATTGCTTATTGAAGCATTTTTATGATAACAGCTTTAAAATCTTGTCAGATAATTCCAACATATGATGCATCTCTGTTTTGGACTCTTCTGATATCTTTTCTTCTTTATCATTTTCCTGCTTCTTGGAATGATGAGTCATTTTCAATCATAGCCTCGGTACTGTGGCTATATTAGGAAACTCAGGTGCTATTTAAACCTTCTATTTTAGCATTCCTTAATCCTGCTTAGGTTTACCATGAAGGTTCTGATATACTTTGTGTGCTGTGATTCCAATGACAGTTTAGTTTTCAGAATCTTTGTGGTGTTATTGTCGTATTGTCTTCTGGTACTGCTGGGTCATCCACTGTTCCCTGCTGGTGTCGCCCACAGGGGTAGAAAGCACTTCCCGAGGCCAGGCCACCTGGTTTCTCTAGGTATAGGACAGGAGACCCTGGCCCTCAGAGACAAAGAGCGTCTCTTCAGATCACTGTTGTCAGTAGGGCTCCTCTTCAATCTCTCCTGCTGGTTTCACCAGGTTATCTGGTGTCACTAGGTGCAGAAAGAGAGTCTCTATCCTGTAGGACAGAAAGCATCTCCCTGGGTTAGGCCACTTGTTTGTGGTGGGATTCTCCCTTCAGGTATCACCAAGCCATCTTGTTTCTTTAGGTAGGGGAAGATAGTCTCTGGCCTGCAAAGACAGAAAGCTCTTCACTGGGCTGGGTACTTGCAGACTAAGTTTTAAAGAAAATTAGAATCCGAGGACTGTCAATGGAAGACTTCATTTGAGGCTTTACAAGGTTCATAAATTTCTTCAAAAATTTTTTTAAGTGATATTTCATTAAGACTGACAATAAAACACAATGAGAGCCATACTCAAAAGCAATTATACAAGACATTTTATGGAAAAAAACAGTACTTACTTGAATAAGTTCTTCAATTCTTTTCAAATCTCTTATTACATCATGCCAGTTAGCCTCTGTTTTAGGAAGACTTGCACTAAAGCATCTGAAAGCAAAAACAAAGATTAACGCATTTTGAATGAGCATAATATTGTCTAGATGAATACTATAGGCAAAAAGCATCAAGATTTTTTATTCTGACTAGTGAAAAGATCACTGTTATCCCTGTCTGTGTGCCTTGTAGATGAGCATGAACACCAAACATAAAGCACAACCTTGATACGTTAGATTAACTCGAGGAAAGACCAACCTGGATTAGAGAAAAGCCTAAATGGAGGAATAATTTATAAATAACCTGGTGCATTTTATCACAATGAAATAGAAACAGTGCCTGATACGTGGAAATGCTTACTAAATGTTTTTGAATGAATTATAGTTTTCTGCAAGTAGAGGTCAGTGAGACTTTTAAATAAAATAAATAACTGAAATTCTTAAATCGAGCAATAATCACTTTTGTGTAATGATTGTGACAAGAATTGTTCCTAACAGTAGACTGAATTCGTCCCTTGCATGCAGCTCACACTATCACTATGCTGGCAGATCCTTTCTTCATAAACATCATAGGCTTCGCCCAATCAAGGCTTAAGGATGATATACTTACTCATTTTAGTAAAATCTAAATTTAATATCTGAACAAAAGACACATATACTGACCAAAACCGTGGAATAATTTTTAGAACTTCAGGAAAAAGAGTCACTCTTTGATGGATCTTGTACAGTAGCATGATAGCCAACACTAATCTGTTTTAAGAGTAAGATCTACCTACAGAAATCCATGGTTCCCCATACCATGAAGGTGTCAGTAGAGTAAAACTGAACTGGGAGCCAGACTATATACCACAGGTTGGGTGATTTCGGCCAATTGGGTGTGTCTAAGCAAGAAGAAAAAAGGTAAGAGGCAGGAAAAAACATTAATTTTTTCAGGAGGAAAAACAAAAGGTGTAAATAAATGTTTTAAACGAACTAGGATAGAGGCTCAAAGGATAGGAGTAGTCAGCGCCAGGAATGGATAAACAAAACAACATGGACAACTTCGAAATATATGTGGATATCAAATTAGGGGATGCACTTCCAAGTTTAGTTACAAATCAAGAAGTCCAATTTATCTGGGGGATACAATGCTGATTTGGAATATTTCTAAATATAGAAATGCTAAGTTAGCTGTTTATCAAATCTCCTCTCATTCTACATTCTCTGCTCACTATCATACCCCAAATACTGAGTACCCAGAGACTTAAGCAAACTGAATTAAATAAACCAATCAAGTATAAAAGATATTTTAAAAGGACAATGCTTATAGATATCAACATAATAATATCAATTTATGCCTAAATTGAAATTACCCCAAAATGAAGACTTGAATGCCAGCCTCAGTTAAAAAATGACTGTTTAGAAGTAACCACAAATAGCACTGGATAGAGGTAACTCTCAAATATGTTTTCTGAAAAATATAATCAGAGACAAAATGATTAAAATTCTTTCAGGTAAAAAGTGAAGATGTCAAAACAACATTTGATTTTATTTCTAGGTCCAAAAAGTATAAATTTATCATAATTTCAGAATTAACATTTCTTATCAGAATTAATGAAATTAGAATTTATCTTTTGTGCTTCTTCCTCTACCTCCACTTCTCTCCTCTGTGCAGAATTCTTTAGTCAGCATTTCTCCAGTTGTATTTTAATGACAACAGTTTTAATAGAGCTTACATACTTAGTCGTTTACATATATACTAATGTCGCCTCCTAATTTTTTCTATTATCCTTGACTTCCCCTTCATCTTTTTAGCCTTTTTAACTGGTTAACATATTTTACACAGATTAGAAACATGTAATACTAATGTAGGTTTATTATAACTATATTATATTAAATCCATTATACATTAATATAATTTGAAGAAAAGCTGGACAGAAATGAAACCAATTAAAGATACTATATGCCATCCTGACAGCCACCATATAATAATTGTTTTGATGATTTAGGGAAAGTCTTATCTTAGAACGTCCCAGAGATTTATTATTTTTGCCTGCCTCTTTCCTGCTGTCAAAGCCTTCACAGGCCCATTTAGTTTCAGAGAGCAGTGCTGACTGTCACCGTAACCGCTAATTGTCTATACTTCATTTAGTCTACCTTGAGGGATGAATAACAGACATAACTTGTCCTCAAAGACTACACAATTTACTGAGTAGACAGACATGTGAAGAACAAAATAGAGTAGAACATAAAATAATATATTTACAATGATGTGAAAAGTATATAGCAAGGTTGTTAACTGAGTTAAAAATCAATTTTATTTATTTTCAAAATAAGCACAATCCATACAAGAACAGATATCTGTGATATCCCAAGATCTTTAAAAAATAATCATATAGTTTATTATGAAGTATCTGAGATTCAAGTGACCTTTAAAGAGAAGCCCATATACTATTTTCATCTAGTTTTTCTCACCGAAATTCTCATTACCCAATGCCACAGTAAATCCTTAAGTGTTGAAGAAGAGTTGGCTACAGCAATGGGTTTCCAGCAGCCATCCATCCAGAATACCTCCTACAATACAATGCAGAGTAAAAGATGACTCATTAAAAACTGAAGTGAACTACTGGGGCAAAAGAAAAGGAAGGGGGTTAATATTCATTGAGCACTTATTTATTTTTTTTGATGAGCTCTGTTTTAGTCATTTAATATATGTATCACATTTAATCCTCACAAGAAACCTATGAGGTAGAATTAGCAGCACTTGGGCAAGCTGCCCAGTCCCACAACAAGTACATGACAACCAGGACTTGAAACTAGGTCTGTCTGATTACAAAGCTCAAATCCTTTCTTCTATATCACATCTTTCAGTTAGCAGATTTCAAAGCCATATTATTGAAAAGTGGAAGCATCCAAATACCTGGATTCATATAAACTATTGATTGTTAATCTGATTTACAACAGCAGTAGCTGCTTCTACAGATAATGAATCGACGTTCGCAGTCTTTGAAATAAATACTGTTTTGTTAATTAAAATATCATCTGAGAACTGAGAATTTCAGAAGTAGAAAAATTCTATTTTTTTTCTAATTCAAAGAGGGTGAAGAATGTGAAGATTACACATGCCCATATTCAACACCATTTCATTAAAGGAAACTTTATAATCAAAGTATATGAAACGTAAACAATTATCTTGCTGTTATTTTAAAATGGTATGTATTTTTTGAGAAAAATATTCAAAGTATGCCACCTCCTTTGACATAAATATTCACTGCAACCAAGTTCCATAAACTCAAATAATTAAATTATTTTGTTTTTCAAATAGTTCTGAAATATAAAAATGACTGTTTAAAATATATGTATATTTGTATTTTTTCTTTAGCCACATTAAATTGCCAAGGTACAGAACTGGAATAGGTGAAAAACTGGATTTAAACATGGTTGTATGTGCCAAGGAAGTACAGGCAAGAGGGGGACAAGGGATTTTAGACTATATGTGAGTGATTGGGAGATTTAACCAGGGAATTTAATGTCCTTTTTTAATCATATGGCTTCACAGAGAAAGTGTTATTTAAAACATGTCTTGAAGAATGAGTAGATTTTTTACATGAGTAGAAGGAGAGACATAGCATTCTAGGTGGAGGAAAAGGCATGAGCTAGGACATACGCAGGAAAATGTAGTGTGTATTCAGAAAACAGTGAGTCATTTTGATTAATTACATTGTAAAATTAGTCACAGATAAGAGTGAACAAAACTATCACCATCGTATAAAGCAGGAATTAGTAAACTTTCTCTGTAAAGGGCCAGTAAAAATTTTAGGTTTTCCAAGTGATGAGGTCTCTGCTGCAACTACTTGACTCTGCCATTGTAGTGTGAAAGTAGCTAGAGACAATGCAAAAATTAATGGCTGTGGTTGTGTTCCAATACAATTTTATTTTAAAAAACAGATGATTGGTGGGTTTGGCCCATGGGCTACAATTTTTTGATACCTGGGCCCTATGAATCTCTTAATCAGTCATAACTTAAGTATAGCTGAGAAAGTGGTATCTTTAAGTCTTAAATCTTCCCATCATTAATTGTACTAGCAATTTTCCATTAATTGCTCTGAGACTGTTTTCAATTAACACCAATATTAAGAAATTTTCAAGTAATAAAATTCCTTAAACACTATCTGTGTTTAATAAAGCTAAAAACAAACAAAATGAACTATGTTACCATCGAGTACTAGTGGTGTGATACTGAAAATTTATTCATAAAAACATAAAGCCTAAAATTGATATTTAATTCTCTTATAAGGCAACACAACATTTTAATATGGCTTATAAATCTCAAAGAGCCCTGGTGGCACAGTGGTTAACAGCTCAGCTGCTAACCAAAAGGGTGGCAGTTCAAATCCACCAGCTACTCCTTGGAAACCCTATGGGGCAGTTCTACGCTGTCCTATAGGGTTGCTATGAGTCAGAATCAACGCAACCACAACAGGTTTAGTTTTGGTTTTGGTTACAAAATCTCAAAGTTCAATAAAACAATAAAAATAAATGTTTAGGTAAGATGAAGCAAGATGGAGGAGTAGGCAGCTCCAAGCTTTTGTTCCCCTTTTAACCCACTGCCATCGAGTCAATTCCGACTCATAGTGACCCTATAGGACAGAGTTGAACAGCTCCATAGGGTTTCCAAAGAGCGGCTGGCGGATTTGAACTGCTGACCTTTTGGTTAGCAGCTGAACGCTTAACCACTGTGCCACCAAAGATCCATTTTGTTCCCATAGATACATCAAAAAACAAGTGGAAACTGGCAAAAACAACTATGGTAGAACTCTGAAAATCAAAAGTTTACAGCAACAAAGTGAATTCTGAATTAATAAAAAAGGTAACTTCAAAACAGTACGAAAGTTTCATGGCTTTTTTACTTGCCTGTGTCCCACCCTTTTTTCAGCACAGCAGCAGCAGCCCCTATTCCAGTGTGAACCCCAGACGGTGCTCAGGAGGGAGCAGAGCAGACTTTATTTGCAAATTACTGTATGTGTTTGCTCTAACTGGTTTCAGAGCAACCCGGAGGACTGAAACAAGGCACTTTGTTCTGTTTCGCCTAACTCAGAACTTAGGCTGGAAAAGTTATGGGTCTTGTTCAGAAACAGCAAGTTGATCTAACAATGTACAGATGCTTGGGACAAAAGATTATGGCCAAAACATATAACAGACCACCTAAGATATGGGAGTAAAAACTGGGGAGTTTCTTTAAGATATTAAGACATTAAAAACCATGCATATATAAGGGAGAATTTAGGAGGCTGTACACATGCCCATGGCAAGACGCCCAAACCAAACCAAACTCGTTGCTGTCGAGTTGATTCCAAGTTATAGAGACCCTGTAGGACAGAGTAGAACTGCCCCATAGAGTTTCCAAAGAGTGCCTGGTGGATTTGAACTGCCGACCTTTTGGTTAGCAGCTGTAGCATTTAACCACTACGCCACCAGTGTTTCCAAGATGCATATTCAGAAAACACCTGAGAGGACCATACAATTTTTCCTTGGGCTGATTCACAGGCTCAGTGAAAGACTGATTAAGGGTTAAAGGAGTGCCCAGGAAAGAGCCAATCTGCAAAGACTGGGAAAGATATTTTTAATTGTTTGTTTTTCTTAGCTCCTGACATTGAAGGAAATCTCTGTCAAAACACTAACTGGACACAAATTAAGGCATGAAGACTTTAATGGCCAGACTGTACTAGGAATACAGTCTTTGGAGAAATAGCTAGGAAAAGTCACTAAACAAATTAACTACTACAGCCACCAACAACCAAAAAACAGAAAACCCCAGAGAGGGAGGAGAATCTGATTTCTGTATTTGTCACTTTATAATAGTTAAATGTCCATTTTTCAACAGCAGCAATAACAAATCACACAGCATACCAAGAAAGACGAAAAGATAGCTCATTCAAAAAAAAAAAAAATGCATTGACAGAAACCATCCCCGAGGAAGTCTAGGATTCAGATTAACCAGATAAAAACATCAAAACAACTGTTTTAAATATGCTCAAAGAGCTAAATGAAACATGAGTAAAGAACTAATAAAGGATGTCAGGTAAATGATGAATGAACAAAATGAGATTATCAATAAAGAGACAGAAATTATAAAAAGGAACCAAACATAAATTCTGAAAATGAAAAGTACAATAACTGAAATGATAAATTGACTAAAAGTGTTCTACAAAAGATTTGAGCAGGAAGAAAAAAAGAATCAGCAAACTTCAAACTAGGATAATTGAAATCATTGTTTCTGAAGAGCAAAAAATAAAATTAAATAAAAAAAAAAGAATGAAGAACAGTGAACAGAGCCTAAAGGATTTTTTGGCAAATTATCAAGTAAATCAATATATGCATTATGGGACACCCAGAAAGAGAAGAGAGATAAACTCAGAAACAATATTTGATGAAGTAATGGCCTAAATCTTCCAAAATTTGATGAAAGACATGCATCTACACATCCAAGAATCCCAATGAACACCAAATAAGATAAAATCAAAGAGATCCACATCAACACAATTTATAATCAAACTGCTGAAAGCCAAGCACAAAGAGAGAACCTTGATAGTAGCAAGAAAGAAATGACTCACCACATAAGAGGAATTCTCAATAAGATCAGTCGCTGATTTCTCCTCAGAAACCATGGAGGTAGGAAGGTAAAGGAATAACATACTTAAAGTATGAAAGAAAAACGCTGTCATCCAAGAATTTTATATTGGGCCAACTAGCCTTCAAAAATGAGGACAAATTATGACTTTCCAGAAAAACAGTAGCTGAAGGGGTTTGTTACCATAAGACCTGCCCTACAAGAAATTCTAAAGGGAATCTTTCAGTTTGATATGAAAGAACATCAGACAGTAACTCAAAGCCATATAAAAAATAAATATCTCTGGGAAAGTTAAATACATTGGCAAATATAAAAGACAATATTATTATATTTTGGATTTTAACTGTACCTTTTATTTTCTAAAGGATCTAAGAATTCAAAAAAAATATAAATAATGTTATTGGGCACACAATATATAAAGATGTAATCTGTGATGACAAAAATATAAAGAAGGGGAGGGTGGAGCAGAGAATTGCATGTTACTGAAGTCAACTTGGTATCAATTTACACTAGACTGTTTTAAATTTAGAATGATAATATATAATCCTCATGGTAATCACAAAGAAAATATCTTCTAAAATATACACAAAGGAAAGGAAAAGGAAATTAAGACTGTTCAGTACAAAAATCAACTAAACACAAAAGAAGGCGGTATAAGACGAAACAAAGAAGAAAAAAGGTGTAAGACACACAAAAAAATCGCAAAATATCAGAAGTAAATTCTTCCTTATCAGTAATTACTTTAAATGTAAATGGATTAACTTTTCCAATCAAAAGGTAGAGCCTGCCAGAATGTATAGAAAATACGTGACCCAACTATATGCTGTCTAAAAGATACTCGCTTTATATACAAAGACACAAACAGTCTGAGAGTTAAATCATGGGGAAAAAAAATGTATTCAATGCAAATAGTAGCCCAAAGAGAGCTTGGGCGGCTCTACTA